CATACATGGGGAAGACAGATAGATAAGGGGAAGCAAGTTAAGTAAAAGCTTGTAAAAACAATAAGGCAACAAAAGTGATCAATCACAACACCATATATACAACATGTACTTTTGGTTGAATAAAAGTTTTATTTTATGTTTATTGTCAGTAATCACAGAGGTGTGTCTATCTGTTAAGTATGTGGTCAGTTTGAAATGTGCTTGTGTCTAGCAATTAGTTGTATGGTTGGGTTGGCGGGGTACGTGTGCGTAATTTGGTAAACTAAATGATCCGGTTTTAATACATTGTGACGTGGATTGTCTACATCGAAAATTTGAAAATAAATATACACTCGTGAAATAGATTCTCGTTGTGGATTGTATTTATTTATAATTGTTACATCTGACCAAAAAGAGCCAAATAATTTAAGAAGCCGAGTGTAAAAATATTATTGACAAAATCTTTTAAAAACATTTTTTGTCTCAGACATGTAATTTACAACGTCTATATCCTTGCCATGTGCTGTTTAATAGTACAGTTTTCATCAGCGGCTTGTGAGGACTGATGTAGATCTACAATAGTAATACTTTTTTTCTGACATGTACTTTTATTAATTTTAAGATGGTTTACTTATACTTGATATTGCATAGTTTATGAGATTAATAGGTGATTTAGCAATTTGATGTTAAAAAAAATAAACTAACTTTTTCGTTACTCTGACATTTATTTCAACTCCATTTATGATGTCATACCTCATCACCCCGTCTACCCCAGCTAAATGAGAATATAAAGAAAACCCTTTGAAAAGTACAACTTTTTGTATAGGAAGATTTAAACACGACAACATTGATTAACATAAGAAATTTATTTTTATAAATTGTAAGTCATTTAAAACAATGCAAGTTTTTTATATTTCATTAGAGAGAACTTATATTTTTACTCAAAATATTATTAGCAACAGAAAGTTTATCACATTTTAAAATTATTTTGTTACAATAATACTTAATAAAATAAACAACGATTTACAAAAATTGTTTTACTACAACTGGGCTATCGGTTGTATATTAATAGTTTCAAGTTATTTCCCATGTGTATTACATTTTTTCTAAACGGGATGTAAATTACTAAAAAAATATTAAACTTTAGCCTAATACAACATTACTGTCGTACGACTCACAATAATACTATACGTACATGTTGTACATTCTAATATTATTACACCATGACTATAGGAAAGCAAAGTGTAATATTAACACTATAGGGCTGGTAAGTAGGTCACCAAACAGTTCTACAGCTAAATAAAACATGCATGAGCCATAGAACTAGTTGGTGACCTACTTACCAGCCCTAAAAGAAATAAGAAATATAAGAAATATTCACAAGGAAAGTGTGGATTATTGAAAGAAGATGTATTTGTTTAAAATTATTGAAATGAAACTCTAATTGGTAGATGCATTTTTTTTTTATTTTATAACATTAACTAATCATTGCAGTTTCTAACTGTCGATTTCACCCTTTAAAATGTTAAAGTCGAAGTGTCCACAAACATCAAAGTTGAACTGTTAGTCCTTTCATTTAATCTTGTAGGTTTCGAAAATGTGCTTATTAGTGTATTGTATAATTGTTTGAACATTTAGAACATATTGCTGTGTTGAATATAGAAACATTTGGTAATTTTTTTTAATTGAAAAATTAAGGGAAACAAATTACAACTTTGTTGTTAAAATTATTTACAATAGAAGTACATTAAATTGCTATACAAGCAACAAATAAATGATTGTTTTATTTTTAAATTAATATATCGCAATTAATATATATGTCAAAGTGTATAAAATAAGTAGTTTAATATGTTCAAAATTTAGAAAATATAATTTTATCTGTTTATTGTAGAACATTAAGCTAGTATAATAATCATTATTTTTTTTTTAAAAAAGGAAAGATAAATTTGAATAGTGTTGGTCCAATAATATTGATTTCATATTTATTTTGGCACCCCCAAAAATACGTTTTTTTTAAAAAAATACTGCATGGGTAATAAAGTAGTTAAAAAATTAAGTTTATATTACGTGACAAGAACGAGATGACAGGATTAAGAAACACTTTATATTGAAAAAAAATAATTACTATTTGTATTTTCACAAAACTGGTATTTAAATGTTTACATCGCTTTCAATTTTTACCAAATCTCGACCTAAGGAAATACAATTGATCAGTACAATCTGGATGTAGTTGTTAGCTGTTGTGTTGTATAAAATATTTGAAGTGGTTAGCTGTTGTGTTGTATAACTTATTTGAAGTAGTTAGTAGAGATCTACATCGGGATATAAACTAGATGTAGGTGTGGTTAAAATAAAAAAAACACTTCACATCTTTAAATTCTAATACCATCATAATGCATAGATTATCCTAATCATATCGTTTTGTATCGTCTATTCTACTATTCTATTTTTATTTTATCCGAATGTGTACAGGGATGGCGTGGTGAAGCGTTAGTGCACTAGCCTCGAGTTCGAATCCGAGTTCGAGTCAGAGTTGAGTCCACCCAGCTTGGATGGGTACCTTACCATGGTCGGCTGGACATAGTGATATCACCCACGTTAGGAAATAAAGGCGACTGGGTGACCAATGTTTTTAAAAAAGGCTGCTGGGTATAACACTGTAATCGTGGTTAAACAATAAAGGCGGCTGGGTATAATGCTTTTCTTTATCCATTTGTTATTTAAAATAAAATGAACGTTATAATTGTTGTCCACAAGCATCCGAATTGAAATGGAAGTCTTCTTTAATGTAATCTTTTAGGTTTGAAAATACGTGTAATAATGTATGGCATAATTATTTGAAACCTTTAGAACATATTTTTATGTTCAAAATAGAAATATTTAGTAATACATCTTCTTTCCAATTTTGTAATTGAAAAAACAACTGGCAACTTTGTTTTTAAGATGATTTACAAGTACATTTAATTGATATAAAAGAAATAAGTAAATTACTTTTTCTACTATAACAAATAAATCAAAAATTACATGTATGTCAAAATGTAATATGTTTTTTACTTATTACATATTTAAATACTGTTTTTTATCAGTTTATTGAAAACATTAAACAAATAAAATAATTGTTCTTTTATAAAAGAAAAGATACATCTATTTATTGCTAATTCTATTGTTTTTGACAGTCGAAAATATGTTTAATTTCTTTTTAATACTGCATTGAAACAGAAGTAGTCAAACATTAATTTTATATGTAGTGACAAGATCAAGTTACCAGGGTTAAGTACCAGAAATCACTGGATCAGACGGGTGAACTGCTCTCTGATTAACTTACATTAAAAAATCGCCCTGCGAATGAATGCTCACTTCCAATTATTCTTAATATGATTCACAAAACCCTAGACCACCCACACCCACTATGAAACACGTCTTGACAAATACCCTTGACGTATATCAACACCAATGGTAAACTATTGTAGGGCATGTCCTATTTCAAATGGTGATTAAAAACAAAACAATGTAATTAACAACGCTTATTTGAACTTGTTCAGAATGTGAAATGTTAATTTGCATATCTTAAAAGTATGTATGTAAATGCCGTCTTAATTTCAATAACTATATATTTCCCACATAAATAAACGTTTACATTATTTCAATAAAAACAAAATCCCCTTATAATTTTAGATTAAACTGTTTCCGAACATATATACGTTAGAAAAATAATTAATTATAATGACTAGTATTTACAACGTGCCCTAACATAATTTGTGTACAGTGCATCTTTAACTAGTTAATTGAGTGCTATAACGTATGCTATATTCAGTGAAATTTGATGTGTAATTTTAAAATGCACATTTAAAGAATAAATATACTATTATAAATGATAGATACGTGCGAACTATTTATTAAAGGTAGGTCTACTCGTCATTAAAATACATTGTTTCAGGAAAAAAAAACGTTATACTTTTTAGCATAAAAAAATATCGTTAGTGATGAGAGAGAGAGAGACGTTACCAAATTAAACTATATGTTAAGAACACGATTCCCATTGATTACAAAAAAGATAGCAGCTATTTGTTTTAGACCTCGCTTCAATATTTTAAAATACCTATAAAACCCATAATGCAGAAATAATACTTTGTTTTTACTAATACTATTGTCAAACTAAGTACAGATAGGCCCAGTGGCGGCACCAGGTTATATGGCGTCCCTGGCAAAACTTAAGAAATCAACAACATTGGTACACAAACTTCGATTTTTTGTTGAACGAAAGATGACTTAGAGGTCTCCTGCATTGAATCGCAGTCTGTTGTTTTTTGTCCGCGGTCCAACATGTGGACAGCAAGAATGACCTCCAACCTCCCATTCGTCCATAAGAGTCTACTTTATTAGACCCCCCCCCCTCATTTCATCCTCCTTGTCATACACGGTTGACGCCCAATTTTATAAATGTAACATGTTTTTTCATCGCTTATAGTAGAGTGATCGCTTGCATTATAGTGATGTATAGCATTTATTTTCTACTTTTTAGTTCAATCAGAAAACGTGGGTTTTTTAAAACTTTTTAATGATTATTTTTTGTCTCAGACATGTAATTTACAGCGTCAGTTTACCTTGCCATGTTCTCTTTAGTATTACGGTTTTCATCAGCGGCTTGTGAGGACTGATGTAGATTTACAATAGTTATATTGTTTTCTGACATGTACTTTTATTCATTTAAGATGGTTTACTTATACATAATACAAAACATCTAATTACAATTTTATTTTTCACTGAAAATGCATACTTGTGATTATTATGTGATTTAACTATTTGTTGTTAAAAAAAGAGTAAAATATTATTTGCTTTACTCCGACATTTATTTTAACTCCACTTATGAGGCCATACCTCATTACCCCACCCACCCAAACGAAATATAAAATTTAAAGACATACCCTTCAATTTTTTTAATCATGTAAAAACATTTTTTTTTGTATTTTCTTTTTTTTTGTATTAAAATGTGTTTATTTCAATGACACAAATTTACATATTTAGTTATCTCCGTCCTTCTCCTTTTTCTTTTGTTTTTTGCTCTTTTTTGCTTTCTTCTCCCCATCAACAGTTTTATCAAGTTCAGAGCCAACACTTGTATCCACCTCAGTAACTACACTCTCACCATTCTCTTCCTTGCTCTTCTTCTTTTTCTTCTTCTTCACTGGCTCATCTTCCCCATTTTCTTCTACCTTTTTTGCTCGTTTTTTCTATTGTTTCTTTGTTTCTATGCGCTTTTAAGACTTTCTGTTTTGTTTCTTCAGCTTCACTAACAGCTATCTTCATGACATCTATATTTTTGGCAGGATTTTCTCCAGTTTCATAGAACTTCAGCCTGTCTTCAACTTGCTGATTTAAACGCTCACCAATCACTGCAGTTGGGATGTCTGACAAATTGTCAACCCTAGATGCTATGGTACACTTATTTGCTAGGTATCTGGAAATACGTCTTTTATTTTTTGCACCTGCGCGTCCAATAAAGGTTGAATGAAAGATGAGGCCATACTTTGGATATTGCCTCTAGTCTTAGGTGCTCTGAATAGAGTTCTCAGCACCAAGAATTGGAACAGTTGAGGCTGGGTATTTGACCAAGTTCGTTAGGCTACCAGCATGAGAGACCATTCTTGTTACTTTAATTTTTTATTTATTTTTATTTTTTTATTATTAATTTTTTTTTTTAGTTGGTTGTTTAAAAACAATTAATTTTAGTAACTACAGATGAATACCTTTAAATTAATTAAATTAAGAAAAAAAAAATTATAAATAAAGAGTCATTTAAGACAGTAAAAGTTTTGTATTTTGATTAGAAATAACCTTTTTTATTTTACAATTAATAACTATTAGTACGAAAAATGTGTTACATTTATGAAATTAATTCGTACAATAATAATAAAAGCCATGAACAATGTTTTACAAAATAATTTTACTACAACTGGTGTATCGGTTTTATATTATTTTGATATAATAGTTTAAAGTGGTTTCCCATATGTTTATACATTTTAAAGATGGGAAGTAACTAATACAAATATTCAACTCAATCAAATTACAACATTATTGTTGTACAACGCTCGCTAATACTATACGTACATGCTGTACATTCTAATATTATAACAACATGACTATAGGAAAGCAAAGTGTGATATTTACACTATAAGAAATATGCACAAGAAAAGGGTGGATCATTGAAAGAAGATGTATTTGTTTCAAATTATTGATGTAAAACTCTAATTGGTAGTTTATTTTTTTATTTTTATTTTTTTAAATAGCTTTAACAAATCACTGAGGTTTCTAACAGTTGATTATACTCTTCCAATAGTGTAAAAATAGCTAAATTGTGTTAATCTTGAAGCGATTCAGTTAATGTTCGATAACTTTTATTTTTATTTTGGTACGAACAGTTTAGGACTGTTGTATTACAATCATAAACATAATATTGCATGTTTTTCCAGGTATGAACAGCGGTTTATGCTTTACAGAGATTTAACAGCATTTATGCAAAATATAACGTATCATACACTGCATACAAACTTACTCTTAAGATGTGTGTGCATGTGCGAATTTGTGTATATGAGCGTGTGCGCGTTTGCGATTGTACGCTTGAGTGAGTGTGCATGTGCGCGTGTAAGTGTGTGTATGTATTTATTAAGTTTTATTTCTTGTAAGTACTTTCTTTGTGTACATAAAGACAACAAAATGGTTGCTCAAGGAATTATCGAAAGAAGATCTGCATTTGTTTTCATTTTCCATTTTCTATCTAATTAGTCAAATGTTAAATTTGTCATAACCCAAACTCCGCTAATTCAATATTTAGTGATACCGACATGAACCTCACCCCCTCCCACACCCCATCCTCTGTGGTGTTGTTGTTGTTCACTCTAATTAAAAAGGAATCATTATTTATCAACTTTATTTTTTGCATACAATAAATTACCAAAATTTTTTCAAGAAGTTACAGCATTAATTTTGTAAGTATATTTTTATTTAAAAAAAAAATTGATCTTTATTTTCTAAGGGTAACATAAAAAAAATATTTTACAACTTTACACATTTGCAAATGTAAAATAATATATTTTGACCAACTTATAAATTGCATTAATTTAATTAACAATTTAAAATTATTTTTTTATTATTTTGAAACAATTTAATCTACTGCTGTTGTATGCAATTTTTAACTTAAAGTTTAAAGTTGTTTCCCTTGATTGCTAAATAACATAATCTGAAAAGAAATATATTTCTAAACTTTCTATTTTCAACAATGCAATATGTTTTAAAACTTGTAAAACGCCTTCTTAAGTCTACAAGTTTGCCTTAAAGTAGAGTTCCACTTTAAATTGGATGTTTATAAACAATAAACCTTTGAATATTTTTTTTTCTAAATATCAGTATCGGAAAACACATTATACATTAATCATAATTTAAACAGTGTTACTCTCATAACATATTTTAAAAAATAAATGAATTCACAAAGCAATTAGCAAATATGATTGATCAATTGCAATCAGAAATCGTCTACGTCAAAATTTATGGACTCTACATATATTTCACAAAAGGTCCAAGGCTTAAGTTTTTTTAAAAAGTCCATCCCTTTTAAACCAGTAGCTTACTGTGTGAACGGGGTACATGATAAGGCTTACAGTTTATGTAATGGCTAATGAAAAACATATATTTGTCAAAAAAGAAGTTGTTGTTTGATATATATCTCTGTTAACCTAAGCACAAAAAAGTGGGGCGGGCCATTTACGTTTATTTTTACTTCTGATTTCAGGGGCATCCATAAATGACGTCATGTTTTTTTGATGACTCACAAAAGACCAGGCCCCCACCCCTAAATGACGACATTTATTAATTGTTCATAAATATTCAATTAATTCATGTACTAAAATTATAAAAATAGTCTTACATGCCTTGTTTTATGAACAAGATTTGTCAAACTAATTAGCTATTGTTTTTTCTGTGTACACAATGCATTATATTATTTGTACATGGAGAAAACAGTGCTTGAAAAGTATTAAATAAAAAAAATAAATTATAACGCTGACGAATATATACCATTTTTATTGTAAAAAATGGATAATTTTGTTTAAACGGCTGTAATTTTGTTGTTTCTTCATCTGATGCTGTACTGTTGGTCTCTGTTATAAATTTAATGTAGGAATTTCATTTATTGACTTCTATTTGTTGATTTTTTTTCTAGTTTTAAATAATTTAAAGTCGATCGTTAGTTTGGATTTGGGTCTATAATTTTTGTCTTTTGTGTTGTTTGATTTTTTCTGTATTGGTAATGTAGCTCTGCTGAAATATGTCGCAATTACCCTATTCTCTTTCATGTAGGCCTATATCTTTTTATGCGACGTATAGTGGCTGTAGAGTATCATCTATAAAAGTTTGATGAAATTCGTTAGTTAGTCCGTCTTGTCTAGATGTTTTAATTAATTTAAAGCCATTGATTGTTTTCCCTTAGTATTGCATGTGTTATGCTTACCTTTCCATTTTATAGTGGAACAAGGTATAACACAATTTAAAACACAGTTCAAATGTAATAATACAATATAATTTTCCAAATACAACAGAGAAACAGTGAACATTCACGAAAACACTGACTACATGCTACCCTAAGTTGACGATACCACACACTGCTTACACACTCGAGTTCACACACTTGTCAGGGGAGGCGACTCTCACACCCAATCTCTCCGTGCCTACACGCTTTCGCTATGAACTTCTAGGCCACGTCACACCTCCCCCCTAAAAAAAGAGGTTTCTTATTTTTACTAAAATTAAACAGCATTTCTAAGGTCTATCCTGCACAACTACTTAACATGTACAGTAAAAATTTTAATACAATATTTATCTGACCTGTTACATGCTTTAAATCTCCCTATAAATAAATGATGGCGGGTAAAAAATTATATCTCTACAATAAAATGTTGGACGTAAGCATGAATTAACTACTTATAGCTTTATACGTCTAGTCTATAAGTCAACAAGGTTTTTAAAAAACATTTGTCATCAATAAAGCATTTGAATTGAATTACAATACATCAGAACAATGTTACTTTCCTTTCGTTTTATGAAGTTAGATATGTTGAAATAAATCTAGTCAATGATGACAATGAAACTAGAAGCTATTCAGATAACACAAGTTCGTACACCACTCTAATTTTGGTACAGTATTCTGGCTCTGGATGTCGATCTGGATCTCGCTCTGGCTTTGGCTCTCGCTCTGGCTTTGGTTTTGGCTCTGGCTTTGGCTCTGGTTTTGGCTTTGGCTCTGGTTTTGGCTTTGGCTCTGGCTCTGGCTCTGGTTTCGGCTCTGGCTCTGGTTTTGGCTCTGGCTCTGGTTTTGGCTCTGGCTCTGGCTCTGGTTTTGGCTCTGGCTCTGGTTTTGGCTCTGGCACGGGCTCTGGCACGGGCTCTGGCACGGGCTCTGGCACGGGCTCTGGCACGGGCTCTGGCACTGGCTCTGGCTCTGACGTTGGCTCTGGCTCTTCTGCTCAGCTCTGGCTCTGGAGTCAAAACATTTTTGTTTCGATCCTGCTATCTTGACATCACAGTCTTTAACTATGATTAAAGTCTCATTAGTATCTTTAAAAAGACTATGAACTTGATACTGGATTAAAGTTACCTTCTGCTCAGCTGCCCTTGACCTAGTTCTCCACTCTGTTGACTTGTTGCCTAGATTGCGTCTCTGGTTGATTAGGTCTTCTGTAAGTGGGACAGTAGCTAGAGCTTTCATGTTGGTGGCGACGCAATGATTTGCTTCTGATGTGATCAAGGACTGAGATGCTAATATTGTAGCTCTAAAATTTGATAACTTACTTGCTATGCTAATGTAGTCCACTTTGTAGCTAGCAAGTTCTCTCAACTTCTCTCCTAGCTTTATCACTGTATTTTTAATGTCATTATTTATGGCCATGATGTCTGCAGCACTGTTCACAAGTTTTGTGGCTGTTGATACTAATTTTTTTCCGGTCAGCGATTACTGCTGCCGTTGATACGAGATATTTTCTAGTCGGCTGTAACGCTGCCGTTAATACTAGATAGTTTCTAGTCGGCTGTAACGATGCCGTTAATACTAGAAATTTTCCCGTCGGTTGTGACACTGCCGTTGATACTAGAAATTTTCCAGTCGGTTGTGACGCTGCCGTTGATACTAGACACTTCCCAGTCGGCTGTAACGATGCCGTTAATATTAGATGTTTTCTAGTCGGCTGTAACGATGCCGTTAATACTAGCAAGTTTCTAGTCGGTTGTGACGCTGCTGTTGACACTCGATATTTTCATGTCGGCTCTAACGCTGCTGTTAATACTGGATATTTTCCTTTTTGTCTAGGGGTAAAAACTTCTCAAAAATCTTGTTGTGTTCAAATCCCGGACTTAAGCCCTCACTTGTTATGTTCAGCTTTCCATTTCATAGTGGAACAAGGTATAACACAATTTAAAACACAGTTCAAATGTAATAATACAATATAATTTTCCAAATACAACAGAGAAACAGTGAACATTCACGAAAACACTGACTACATGCTACCCTAAGTTGACGATACCACACACTGCTTACACACTCGAGTTCACACACTTGTCAGGGGAGGCGACTCTCACACCCAATCTCTCCGTGCCTACACGCTTTCGCTATGAACATCTAGGCCACGTCACACCTCATAAGTGGAGTTGTAATATATATTTCGGAGTAAAGAAAATTAATTATAGTTTACTCTTTTTAACAGCAAATAGTTAAAGCACATATTAATAACAACATTTCAGGTTGAAAAATAAAATTGTAACTATACGCTTTGTATTATGTATAAGTAAACCATCTTAAATGAATAAAAGTACATGTCAGAAAACAGTATACTATTGTAAATCTACATCAGTCCTCACAAGCCGATGATGAAAACTGTAATACTAAACAGAACATGGCAAGATCAACTGACGTTGTAAATTACATGTCTGAGACACAAAAAAGGTTTTAAAAGATTGTGTCCATAATGTATTAAAACCGGATCATTTAGTTTACCAAATTACGCACACGGACCCCGCCAACCTAACCATACAACTAATTGCTAGACACAAGCACATTTCAAACTGACCACATACTTAATAGATAGACACACCTCTGTGATTCATGAAAATGAAAATAAAATTAAACTTTCACTCATCCAACAATACACGTTGTATATATGACGTTGTCGTGATTTATTATTTTAGTTGCTTTATTGTTTTTACAAGCTTTTACTTAACTTGCTTCCCTTGTCTGTCTGTCTTCCTCATGTGTGTTATGTCTTATCATTGGATGTTTGTTTTTACGGTACTAGATTTTGTAAAGTCCTATTCTCTCATTAAATATGTTTATGTATATAATTATATTTGTCATTGTTTACTTACACTTAACAATTGGCAGTTGGATATTGAACTCAATGTATACTAAACTTACGAGATATCCTACATTTGCGATAAACTAAATTCACGATATCATAAACTCATGATATATATATATATATATATATATATATATATATATATATATATATATATATATTAAATTAACAGTATATTAAACTTACTATATACTACATTTACTATATACTAAATTCACAATCTACTAAACTCACGATATTCTAAACAAGAGATGTGTAAAGCATTCCTTTGTGTTAAAATATAAATACAAAAAAAGAACCACAATTGGATAAGTATTACCCAAGGGAAACAAACGAGTATTTGACAAATCAATTGATATACCAGACTTGCCTCTATTTTTAATATGTTTAGCTTATTTTATTTCCTATTATTTTAATTACAAACAATCAAGTAATCGCATAACCGTGTTCCCACCTCTTGTCTTTTCATTACAAACTTTTTCAAGCAACTTTGTAATCCAACTAGCAACATCACCAGGCAGGCACTAGACTGGAATCTCCAAGGAAATAGGAAAGTAGCTAGGCCATAACAAACTTGGAATCTATCAGTTTTAAATAAATCAGAAGCAATCGGTATGTCGAGACCCAGACTTGTAGGAATCCCTTACAACCTGTGATGCTGGAGTAGTGTGGTTTCGTTGTTTTGTACCAAAAGAGATGATGATGATAATGATGGGATATTTCAAGGGAGTCCTAAGAACAAAACGTCGTTTTGTACCAAAAGAGATGATGATGATGATAAGGGGATATTTCAGGGGAGTCCTAAGAACAAAACGTCGTTTTGTACCAAAAGAGATGATGATGATAATGATGGGATATTTCAAGTGAGTCCTAAGAACAAAACGTCGTTTTGTACCAAAAGAGATGATGATGATAATGATGGGATATTTCAGGGGAGTCCTAAGAACAAAACGATTGCACTAGGTATTTAAAGCTTTTTTTTTTACGTTCAGAATTGTATTTTTAGCTTCAACTATGTTATAATTATTTTATTATGGGGGACAACTACCAAAATAATAACTAACTATTACCAAAGTAATGCATGTCTTGCCGCTAAACGTATGCAACGACACAAATTATACAATACGTTATTCGTATGATAAGAATAATATATTGACGTTTTGATGTTTTATTGTAAAATTTTAAAGTGTTCTAACTAAACAAATGTTGTACTTTGTGTATAGGATTTATAGGTTGGGTGACGGGGGGAGAGAACAAGGCAAAAGCTATAACTTAGAGTCATAACATCTTATATATAAGTAAGTTGTCCGATTTAAATGTGTACTAGCAACATCACCAGGCAGGCACTAGACTGGAATCTCCAAGGAAATAGGAAAGTAGCTAGGCCATAACAAACTTGGAATCTATCAGTTTTAAATAAATCAGAAGCAATCGGTATGTCGAGACCCAGACTTGTAGGAATCCCTTACAACCTGTGATGCTGGAGTAGTGTGGTTTCGTTGTTTTGTACCAAAAGAGATGATGATGATAATGATGGGATATTTCAAGGGAGTCCTAAGAACAAAACGTCGTTTTGTACCAAAAGAGATGATGATGATAAGGGGATATATCAGGGGAGTCCTAAGAACAAAACGTCGTTTTGTACCAAAAGAGATGATGATGATAATGATGGGATATTTCAAGTGAGTCCTAAGAACAAAACGTCGTTTTGTACCAAAAGAGATGATGATGATAATGATGGGATATTTCAGGGGAGTCCTAAGAACAAAACGATTGCACTAGGTATTTAAAGCTTTTTTTTTTACGTTCAGAATTGTATTTTTAGCTTCAACTATGTTATAATTATTTTATTATGGGGACAACTACCAAAATAATAACTAACTGTTACCAAAGTAATGCATGTCTTGCCGCTAAACGTATGCAACGACACAAATTATACAATACGTTATTCGTATGATAAGAATAATATATTGACGTTTTGATGTTTTATTGTAAAATTTTAAAGTGTTCTAACTAAACAAATGTTGTACTTTGTGTATAGGATTTATAGGTTGGGTGACGGGGGGAGAGAACAAGGCAAAAGCTATAACTTAGAGTCATAACATCTTATATATAAGTAAGTTGTCCGATTTAAATGTGTACTAGTGCTAGGGGAGGCGTGAACGGTTTGCAATGTAACTATGTTAACTAGGCTACACATATTGTACGTATATGTTCATATAATAAGATCAGACTGTTGTCATTACATATACCATTTAAAATGTACGCTGTGTGTTATATGTCGACTGAGTCTTTATCATGTTTAGGTTTTTTTCTCGTTCGAAAATGAATACATAAACACAAACAAAAAACGTAACACATTAAAACATTTGTGACATGTATATACTTATACATAGCATTTAAAAGCATAGGTAATATTTTATTATATGTATATTTAAGATGATGCAATTACACGGTAAAGCTAAAAATTTAAAAAAAAACAGTATTTTTACTTTTGAGACGTGTATTCGTTGCTTCCATTTGTAATTTTTAAAATACCAGGGGAGGTCACACAACTAAGTTCTTATAATAATGCAAATACCGATAGACTAATTAGTCATACAAAAATTAGTGCAAACAAATGTTATTATACATCTAATTTTAAACAAAAACCTACTTTACATGAAATACGTTCATAATTTATATTTTTGGATTAATCAAGTCATTAACTATAACTAATACTTTCATTATAAAACCAATGACGTTTTTAGCTACATTAACGGTCGTCAAGGGAAGAATTATATTTTACAAACATTTGGGAATCTAGTCCAATGGTCTATTTAACTTATAAACATAAAAAAAAAATTAAAGCTGTTTTACGAACCCACAGTTAGTCTGTTATGTTACGTTTTCTATTTACAATTAAAAAAAAAAAAAAAAAAAAAAAAAAAAAAAAAAAAAAAAAATTAAAAAAAAACAATGATTTCTCTTACTATTTACCTTCTAGTTTAAGAAGTATAAAGGAAGTATGGTATTAGTGCAAGAAATCGAAATCGAGATTTTCACAAATCTCGACATTTTACACCTCCCTACGTCAAAAAATATAGTTTTGCAACTGTGTCCGTATACCTGTGTGTATGTAGGTATGTATGCCTGTGAACACGATACTTTGAGTACTGTTAAAGTTATGTTAATAGAATTGTATATATATATATATAAGTGTAACATCCAATTTAAAGTCCTGTTTCAACTTTTCAGCGATTTCCGGTAACCGGGAGTGGAGATTATTCTACTTTTGGTTCTTTCAAAAGCCTATAAATTGAGTACCTCATGAACACCAGTATTTCTTTAAGACTTTTTCTCCTCGGGAGGGGTGGCACTTGATATTTTCGTGGGGGTGAACTAAATTTCCGATGGAGGGGTGGGGGGGGGGGGGTAGCGGACACTGTTAAAGGTATATCTATCTATATATATAATTCTCTTCTGGGAGCCGTTAGAAAACAAGCTGCAAGCGCCTCCTTGCAGTCCCCTCTCTTTCTATCACTATCACTACCACCCC